TGGTAGCGCTTGCATTAAAAAAATACTAGTTTTAGAAGCAGCATTCCACAAACAACTTACCTTAGTTCTATCAAATTTGAAAATCGGTTAAAAAAAAAACTATATCTAAATAGCTATCGTAATTCATTCAAATACTTACAATACGCTAAAATTCTAGGATATCAATAAAAATATTAAAATACAGATCACTATATTCGTACGAGTGCTAAATGTTGATTCTTTAAAAAAGTGTATGTGTCCAATAATAGATACATATTAATGTATCTATTAATACATGAAGCAAAAACTTTGTATCCCTTTTTACGAAAATTGCGCGAACGAGGAGTATGAAATTTTCCACACTTATAGAGAATATAGCGAAGAAGTGCACAATGCTAATATTTTTTAAAAATAATGCATAAAAGATACATTAAATCGATAAAGAAAACATTACACACATGTATTTGACGCAGACACGCATGCATACTATTTATTGTCAAACTTTTGTTCTTGACGTCTGTGGTCAAATTGAGAATAGATTAAATATTGCTTGTCTTTATTAATATTTTTTTATAGTGCAGCCTTAGCGAAATTTGTGATTATAGAAGTATAAAATACAATCATAATAGTGTACAAACTTATTATACGATTCCAATTAATTATAATCGAATTTCAGCTACTGTGGGACCTCTAGTTTTACTTACTATATCGTTCTTTGACCAATGCAGTATCGTTATGATGTTTTCATTAAAGTTATTCTTTGTTATATTTATGACACGTGAAAATAATAACCCAGAGAGAGACGAGCATCGCTTCTTTGACATTCAACACTCGACGAGTTCTTAAAATGATAAAGCAAACGTAACGTAATATTCTCAGACGAGATTCCATTTCAGAACATATTACGCTGCATTTTAATAGTCTGGTTTACTGGCTTTTGCCCGCGATTTCGTCCGCAAATAATACTTTATTTTAGAACAAATTTGATTAGCATAAAAACGTTATAGTGAGCCAACCTTAACATATAGACATGCTGTCGCGGACTTTTTTTTAGATCTTTTAAAGGGAACAATTCTGTCATACATTATCTTAGCGAAACTTTAATCGTTTCTGCAGCGCACGCAGCGGAAGCTCTTAAAAGGTAAAAATGACCCCGATTTTGAAACATTCTTTATTGGTGCTCCGCTTGTATTGGTCTTAGCGTGATGTTATATAGCCTATAGCCTTCCTCGATAAATGAGCTATCTAACGCTGAAAGAATTTTTCAAATCGGACCAGTAGCTCCTGAGATTAGTGCGTTCAAACAAACTCTTCAGCTTTATTATATTAGTATAAATAAATAAATAAATAAATAAATAAATATTTACTAACAATCACGCCACGTTAACTGGTCTCGTGCTAAGTTCGTAAAGAACTTTTGTTACAGGTACCAGATAACGGAAATAAATGTAATATTTATATTATTTAATATACATCCATAACCCTGGGAAAGACATTTATATTTACCATACAAATATCTTCCCTTGGCGGGATTCGAACCCGCGATCCCCTTGTGTAGTGACCATGTCACTTACCACTACACCAAACGGCCGATAAATAGAAGTATAGATAACTAAAGCTACTACTTTTACCATGTAATCTTGTGTTTAATCGACAAATAACGCATTAGTCGTCCGTGACCACGAAAAGTTTAAAGCAATTCGATGCATCGGAAAAGATCAAATGAAAATTTTGAGCCACATCCCAAGGCCACCCACCAGATGTAACGTATTTTCTGACAAACAAAATGTGGATGATTGAATAGCGTTAGTATATACTAAGACCGCATGCCTGACTGCTAGTTTGCTCAGAACAAACAAAAATCATGTATAAAAAAAACAGAATTATAATAATAGAAATTCCAATTACAATCAACAAGATACTATGGCAATTTAACAGTGAGCTTTAAATGCTTGTATCGAGATATTAAGCAACATTCATAGCTGGCCTTAGCTAATCACTTAGTTTATCACTGGTGGTAGGACCTCTTGTGAGTTCGCACGGGTAGGTACCACCACCCTGCCTATTTTCACCGTGAAGCAGTAATGCGTTTCGGTTCGAAGGGCGGGGCAGCCGTTGTAACTATACTGAGACCGTAGAACTTATATCTCGAGGTGGGTGGCGCATTTACGTTGTAGATGTCTATGGATTCCAGTAACCACTTAACATCAGGTGGGCTGTGAGCTCGTCCATCCATCTAAGCAATAAAAAAAAAAAGACGGCCAATTCCCAAGTATCGGGTAATCAAGGTACATAAAAACATTACTTATCTCACGTAAATTCTTCAAGCTGATTTTTACGTATATATATTTTAGACAATAGCGTATAAAATAAGTCGTCAATATTCCCAGACATTTTCAGCTGGCCGTATTGCTTTGCAAGCTTTAAAGCCCTCAACATAATTACTTAACTTCACGGAGATTCTGATGCTCCATTTTTATATGTATATGTTCGCCAGACAACTATTTTAAAACCCTTTTACAAGAAGACATGCCGATCCAAGGGGTCAATCATCCTCTCAAGACAATTTCAATGCCTCTGTGGGTAGGAGCCACAGATAACAGGGGTTGATCGGTGGTAGAAGCGCAAGGTCATTCACGCGCATGAGAGTGAGTGAGACATGTATTAGTATTTGGAGGGTTAATTCGATCGCGCACATAACTTTAAATTAGCATATTTTTTTAATTATTATAACTAACTAGCCGTACTCGCCCGCTTCGCTGGGCATTTAAAATTAACAATATTATTTATTGTTATATATTATTAGGGAGTCTAACACTCATATAAATATTAGCCTACCCATTAAGTACATGTATTTTCTACATGGATACCAAGTTTCAAGTCAATCGGATGCATGGTTCAGTAGTTATAACGGAACATCCGTAAAAACCACTGTAGGTTTATATATTAGTATAGATAGATAGATAGATATAGATTGATACGAATATACTGTAAGAGAGAGGTCAATATATGCTAATACATGTCATACATGTATATACAATGTGTACATAATGTGTACATATAGTAGCCCTCCTATAACACGGTAAATACGTTCCTACAAATTCTCGTGTTGTCCGAAACCGTGTTATATGACACTAGAGACTAGAAGCCAGTACAAGAAGGAGATTAATTTTTCTGAATGAAACATCTCAACTATGCCTGTATGTTTTTCTTCTTTCCTATTATACATAAATAAATAATCAGTAAAATTTCGGTTATTCCCTTAAAATGTGTGAGCATGGTGCAGTATATAACTTTCTAAGTAATTTTAAACAAAAATCTCGTTATCGTGTTGTAGAAGTACCGTGTTATAAGAGGGTTTTAGGGAACTTTTCATTTGTTTTAGCGTAAAGCTGTTTAAGCAACGCGTAAATGTATGAGGTTCCCGTGTAAATAATTAAATATGTACTTTAGTTCTGGGGAAAAAAATATAAACGAGAAACATAGCGACGTAATTTTGTATAATCTATATATATTATAAAAATGAATTGCTGTTCGTTAGTCTCGCTAAAACTCGAGAACGGCTGGACCGATTTGGCTAATTTTGCTCTTGAATTACCTATTTGTGGAAGTCCAGAGAAGGTTTAAAAGGTAGGTAAATTAATGAAAATGTTCAAAATGAAATAAAAATAACAATTTTGTGTTTCTTTTGATGTGGGGGACACGGACGGATTCCTTTTGTTTGTTTTAAGTTTATTTTATACAAAAGTTTAAGTCTTTTATTTATGGATTGAGGCACTACGAAGTCTGCCGGGTCAGCTACTAAGTAACAAAAGCCGTAGAGTATACGTGTTAATTTACACGGGGAGAATATTTTTTTCCAACACGAACAAGCTAGATTAAATGAAATAACATCTAGTGTAAACAAACATTTTTATCGTTCAATTGGAGCAAACGATTTTTGCACAGTTAAAAAGATATATAATTCCTGGAGAATAATCTCCCATAATCGTATTCGAGAAACCTTTCTTATCTACTCGTAAGCAATCTTTAAGCCAAACATCCACAGTTGATTTTCAGTTTTCAATCGCATCCTTCGATGCGAAAAAAGTATGCAAAAGTTCGCTATAATAAAAAGCAGTGTAGTCATCTCTATTTTTCAGGGTTATCGTATGTCCATACTATGAAGATCTATTACTAAACGTTTCTTGGTCTTGTGGAGTGCGTTCGACCAGGTTTATAATTGACTAGCGGCCCGCCCCGGCTTCGCTTGGGAAGTAGCGCACGCGATGTAAAGAATTTTAGGTAATTTTTTTACACATTGGGTTACATTATTGAAAATATAATAAATATAGCCTATGTCACCCGGGGATAGCGTAGCTTTCCAACAGTGAAAGACTGTTTTAAATCAGTTCAATAGTTTCGGAGCCTATACAAACAAACAAACAAATCTTTCCTCTTTATAATATTATAGTATATAGTATAGATTTAAAAATTCAAAGTACAATTATTTTACTAAATGCCAAGTGTAACCTCGCGTTAAATATGTAATTGAAAAATAATGTATTGCTAAGTAGCTATAGAAACAGAGTGATCCGCCCAGGAATATCGGCAAAACGAGGTATCGAAACAAACCATAATTGAAAAATCTATCAGAGCGCTCGGGGATCACACAAAGAGGAAATTAATTTAAAAGCGTCGGACTAAACACGTTAGCAGATAGTCATGTATATAGAACGGGGTCTCTTACGTACGATGCACGCAGCGTATAATTCTAGATAAAAGATATTATAGTCTAGACCAGACGTTTTGCACATGTTAGGAAAGATTCACGTACCGATCAATTTGCGTATTTTTATTAAGCAGATTGGGTATGTCAAAGTGGTCAGTAAATTATTGCAGCCTTGGAAAAGAAAACAAAAACAGTTAATGCTTTTCAGATGAAACAATATGCCGTTGAGTAGCAAATTCTAAATTTATATAGATTAAAAACGAATTTACGTAAAAAATTTATGGTACGTTTCAAATTTCACATTACTTACTTTAAGTCTTCTCACAAGCTCGTCGGGTCCGAGGTCATCGGTGATTGGGCGGCAGCCTTGCGGGTACACTATTTCCGCCATGCTGCCAATCTGTGAAGAAAATGAACATTTTCTAATTTAGACTTCCCTGTACTATAAATTCAACCGTAAAAGAAAACCAATTTTTGGTCTCTTTAATCGGATAAATAGATTTGAACATACGGAACCTTTAAATTTTTATACCTGCTGATATATGTGCAGTATCCCCCCCCGCCCCCCGCCACCACCACCATCCATCCCGCCTATTTCCGCCGTGAAGCAGTAATGCGTTTCGGTTCGAAGGGTGGGGTAGCCGTTGCAACTATACTGAGACCTTAGAACTTTATCTCAAGATGGGTGGCGCATTTACGTTGTAGATGTCTATGGGCTCGAGTAACCTCTTAACATCGGGTGGGCTGTGAGATAGTCCATCCATCAAAGCAATAAAAAAAAAATACTATTAATAGGCAAAGCAGCGAAATCGGCAGCGCTTTTTAGTTTATCAAGTTAAGATGTCTTTCGATATTCGTGATAAAACGTAAATGCAATATGACCCTTGACTCTTAATGTCTTTGCTTTATTTTTACGTAATAAAAAGTTGTGACATATTCTGTCACCGCGTTGTCGTATCAATGCAAATCGCGCCAGATAATCTTTTTCAGAATCGATTTTTCCCGGTAAAGCTTTGTCTGTGAGCAACTTTTTCAAAAATAATTTAAAAGTACTCTTTTATTCTGCAATTTAAACTAGATACAGATTACTAAAACGACTGAGATTTCTAGACCACAATGGATCCTAATGGTTATTCTAAATAGTTTTATAAGCAACACTCTTTTCTAGAAATAGTGATGATCAAATCTCCTCCGACTTTTCTTTTATAGCCTAAATAAATACTTTTTTTTAATTTTGAATGAAATAAAACTAATAAGCTAGATCGTTTGAAATTAGGCCTTATCTTGTAAAACTCGGTGAGTTGCGAATTTCTTCCTATATCATATTCATTTGCTGTTTCTTCATATATGTATATATATTTTTTTATACATATACGTTTTTTGGTACATAGCCTTTGTTATTATAAGTGTGACTTATAAGGTCTTAAGCTCTGAGCCCTCAATCCGATGATTTGCAAGCGAAGTAAATTGTCCCTTATAAATAAGGTGACACTCTACAAAACTTGTATACGTCCGGTCATGACCTATGCAAGCGTAGTGTACGCTCATGCGGCCCGCACCAACTTGAAATCCCTCCAAATAAAAGAATCCCGTTTTTGCAGGATAGCCGCCGCACAGTGGGTCGATACTGTGATTTTAGTGACTTAGGGACCAACTTTGTTTTTTTATATTTTTTTTATGTAGATAGATAGAGCTCGTTAATCTCAATAATAATTGTTTTGGGCAAAAATTACAAAAACTTTATAGTTTGGTCAGAAAAATGTGTTTTGTGTTTTTTTTGTATGGAGCGGGTCACATTAAATTAAATTCCTGCTAAGTACCGCGAGGTCCCGCTTTGAAACTTTATTTTCCTTATACCTTGTCTAGTCTACTATTATTTGATGCTATGAACATGTGCATAAAGTTGCAACTCTGCCAAATAAATGGATCGAAAAAAATTAATAAATACATAGAATAAAAACCTTTATATTTTTTTTCGTAAGTGCTTTTAAGTTAAATTTGATATGGATTAGTAAGTAAAAGCACGTAATGATACCCATAATTACATAATACCTAACAACAATACATTTAGTAGGNAGCAGGAATTTAATTTAATGTGACCCGCTCCATACAAAAAAATCACAAAACACATTTTTCTGACCAAACTATAAAGTTTTTGTAATTTTTGCCCAAAACAATTATTATTGAGATTAACGAGCTCTATCTATCTACATAAAAAAAATTATAAAAAAACAAAGTTGGTCCCTAAGTCACTAAAATCATAGAATCGACCCACTGTGCGCCTGAGCCCTGTTGTACGTAAGAAATGTGGACCTCCACGACGACCTGGCCCTAGAGTCCATCAGTAAATATCTACTAATAATTTTGTAGGCAGCGGCTTAGCTCTGCCCCTGGCATTGCTGAAGTCCATGGGCGACGGTAACTACTCACCATCAGGTGGGCCTTATGCTCGTCTGCCTACAAGGGCAATAAAAAAAAATCTACAATCGGCATCAGTGCGTCATTTCAAAAAAGCAGCACGACACGAGAACCCTCTCATCGTGGCCGCCGGAAACTACATTCCCGATCCTGCAGAATTTGTCTATAATAAATAAAGACTTGTATGATTTTTTTATTTTTTTTATTTTCTGAGTTTCGTTATATAATAATTAAATGCCTTAACTTTAACAACATATAAGTTTAGGGGCATCCGCTACAAGATGTCGATAGTTTCCATACAAAAAAAATATTTGTCTTAAAGTAAACTGGTCCTGGTCAGATTTGAGCCTTGTGAGCTCACCTACTTGTTAGGGTTACGATGAAATGGCCTCACAAAGCCATCAGCTTAGGTAGGTAGGAAAAAAAAGAAAGCTCTGAACCGCATAACAAATACCAATATTTAATACAGAAATAATAGGATTTTACAGAAAATCCATTTTGAAGGACCAGCATGGAGACCGACGAGACACCTGGTTCTGTAAAACTTGCGTTACAGAGAAGAGAACGATCACACAACGGATCACTGAAGTCACTTTTCAAGAAGGTCATAAAAGACCTCGCAAACTTCTTAAAGGAAATGGGATGGTGCTCGTAGCTCGGGCCCACCGATACGCAATAAAAGCGCAGTTTAAAACAAAGGTTTGCCGAAAATCGCCCTTAGTACCTAGTGTCTTAAACAAATAATGAAAAAAAAAGTTGTATTGTTATTATTATCAGCAATGCCAGAAGCACAACCAAACCACTGCCTAGTGATATAGAATATTTATAGAAAAATTATTGTGAATTACTTTACATCCATGCAGCTATGATTATTACTTGCTCCAGGTGCAAAGACAAGTTTTATTAAATTATATATACCTAACATATTCAGCCCAATACGTTGGTCCAACCAGATCCGCACTGCTCTTGATTCCACGTTTCCCAACGCCCTCCACACCGCCAGAGACAAGAATAGATGGAGAAATATCGTGCGTGCGAAAGTGAGACAAAAGGGTGGTCACGACCCTCAGCAATGAGGAACATATTCTATTATTGCTAACAAATCACAAAATCAACAGACAGCATTTTGCAATTAAAATCAAACCAACAAAAATTATAATTGGTACTTATATTTCTATTTAGTGCCAGCATAACACCATGTGTGGTGGCTTTCTCAATGATAGCAACATTGATACTGTTGTATAAGTTTAAATTCAATTTATACTGTTAACTGCAGAGTTGATAATATAGTAAACAAAATCTTGATAAGCAAATTTATAAACAGTTTTGGAAAATTAAATATATATACATTAATTACCACTGCTTTTGAAATGCTAGTAAATCTAAAATTTCTTAATAATTCACCACTATTAAATAATATCGACGCTTGAAAAGCAAACGTGACTAAGCGACAATAACTGCTTTGTACATAAATGATAGGCAATAACCATATTCGATGCGCAAAAAATATATATTTCTAGGTCTATTAAAATCATTTCAATCCTACAGCTACTAGCTAGATTCTACTACAGCTAGATTCGTTAAAATAAATTTTGTTTTCAGGTATTTCAACTTTAAATTAGTCTACTGTAAAGTTCATGCATTGTCGCTTAGTCACATTTGCCTTTCAAACGTCGATATAGTACNAAACGTGACTAAGCGACAATAACTGCTTTGTACATAAATGATAGGCAATAACCATATTCGATGCGCAAAAAATATATATTTCTAGGTCTATTAAAATCATTTCAATCCTACAGCTACTAGCTAGATTCTACTACAGCTAGATTCGTTAAAATAAATTTTGTTTTCAGGTATTTCAACTTTAAATTAGTCTACTGTAAAGTTCATGCATTGTCGCTTAGTCACATTTGCCTTTCAAACGTCGATATAGTACTATTTTTTTTTCAATGAAACATATTTTAATATTCAGTGAAACATTATCAATCAATTAAAATAAAAACATAAAATTGTACAAATATTATGTTTTTATTTAGATATAAATATTACAAAACTCAATTCCATCATACTTTGAATACTGCAACATTTATGCTTTGTATTAACTCAGAGACACATAAAGAAGTAATGAGTGAAAGTTATTCTTTTCACAGTGGTACAATAGTAAAATCAATACTATACAGATGACTGTTCACACCAATTACATTTATTTACTCTTTTTGCATGATGCCATCATAGCATTTTGTAAGTTTTATTGCACTTTTACAATGGGTCATATACTGTATTTATTTTAAAAAAAATATGTTACTATGTTTTTTTTTATGGCTTAGATGGGTGGACGAGCGTGAGCTGTGAAGCCCACCTGGTGTTAAGTGGTTACTGGAGCCCATGGACATCTACAACGTAAATGCGCCACCCACCTTGAGATATAAGTTCTAAGATCTCAGTATAGTTACAACGGCTGCCCCACCCTTCAAACCGAAAAGCATTACTGCTTCACGGCAGAAATAGGCAGGTCGGTGGTATCTACCCGCGCGGACTCACAAGAGGTCCTACCACCAGTACAAGATTTAATAATAACACATAATTATGAACATCTCGTGTACTGAGTAACCTTTAAGTTTAAAAAATGATAAAGAATAGTGTAACAAATTAAATATAAGAATCTATGTTTAGCATTTATATACTTAAAGTTAATTTGAACAGGTGTTGATATTGAATAGAAATAAATTTGCATAATGCATGTGTGTAATCTGTTTTAGGCAAGTAGTTACCAATAACAAAACAGTTCAAAAATGAATTACTTATAATGGATATTTATGAAATTAAAACAATTACACAATCATTGTTTCTAGGGAAACATTTATAAAATAAAATGACTAATAAAAGGGATTTATAAAATGACTAAATAGCATTTATCATATGAGGCAAATTCTTGTGCTGCTGCATACTTTTTTAATTATTTATCTAGATAGGTCATAGAACTCAGAGCTCACACTGGAGTTAAGTAGTTCGAAGAGCCCATAGACATTAACAAGCTGAACCATTAGTATTAGTCAATGATCTATGGTTAGCTGATTGATTATTTTCCTATAGCACAAAATGACAATGTCATACACATAGGAATGTGTACACATGTTTAGTAAAGTTTAATATAATTAAAGTTGTTTTTTTTCCGTACCTATTTGCTGATAGCCTAAGGGGCTATTCCAGCGTTTCGCAGATGGCTATGTGAGTCCGCGCGGGTGGGTACCACCACCCTGCCTATTTCTGCCGTGAAGCAGTAATGCGTTTCGGTTTGAAGGGTGGGGCAGCCGTTGTAACTATACTTGAGACCTTAGAACTTGTATCTCAGGGTGGGTGGCGCATTTACGTTGTGGATGTCTATGGGCTCCAGTAACCACTTAACACCAGGTGGGCTGTGAGCTCGTCCAACATCTAAGCAATAAAAAAAATAAAAAAAATTTGAGCTCACGGGCTCAACCTGAGAGAATTTGCTAACACTAGCCCTAGCAAGAGAAGTGCTTCAGAGAATCTACCACCAGATTAGAATCACGACCCACTGAGAAGATGCAGAGAAAAACTCAGTGGGCAGAGAGTTATGTAATTCTCTATTTTACTTACATAAAAATCACAAATGAATATGTGTTGAAATTAATTTTAAACTTTTGTTTTGAATATTTGCCATAACATCGCTTCATTTTACTTGATATTGAGGGGTGAAAGACTATTTGGTTTAAGCGAAGTTTTTGCAACTTTACTGGAGAGCCGTTTAAAAAAAACTTCTTCAGATATTTCAATGGAGTAAGCTTTATTGATGTTTAATTAATAACATCAAACTGTTGATGATAATACTGAATAAAACGCACCATTACGTACAAAGATAAATGTCGCATATTAATTGAAATGTCACTTAAACCAAACAGCCTTTCACCCCTCAATATAATCTACAGGTACCATAAGCCTACCAATTTCTACCCAGTAGTCACACATTTTTGTATAAAGACTGGAACACATTATATGAATGAGAGTTTGACCTCATGTCTCAAGATGAGTAGTGGTGGATGGATATGGATTCTATTATCCACTTGACACCACTTACTTGAGACTTAGGCTCCAATCAGGCTCATCGTCATTTTCTGGGTACGGCTGAGTGTGAAAAAGATTAAACTGTAGCATCATATTCCGATGCGGACAAAAATTAAAATTAAGTTTTCCAGACAAACAAGCTTGAGATACTTTTGTCAATAATATTTGTTACTATTGTTTTTAGTATTTTTTATGGCATAAATGATGAGCTTGCGGACAGGTCTCTTTTTATTGAGCAGCTACTAGAGCCCATCAGACGGTCCAGACATCACATACATTGTTTAGTACAAGTACAAAAAAAATATATATCGTTTAGGCCCTGACAACTTGAAAATATAATGTAAATATCACAAAACAATAATTCTAATATTTTAAAGTAAATTTTCTTATTAGCAGGAGATATCTGTAGGCTTGTGTGTTTTTCAAAATTAAGATGACAAGGTTTTTCATTTAGAAATCTTACAAAACCTATGAACCATATTCAAGGTAAAAACATATTGCAGAAAACCTATAACCATATCATTCCAGGTGAAGATGAGCTTAGAATAGTTATTATTTTCTTTTTTTATTTAATTTATTATTCAATATGTTTGTGAAAAAGGTCTAAATTTCTATGAAGTTCTCAATTTCATCTTTTTAAAATAGTTTTTGTATGAATGAGGATGATTATCTCTCTAGAGATATGTACAAAAAAATTATAGCCAAAAAGGAAGTTAGCTATATGAATTGATAATTGCAATCTCAACAAACATTTGTATATTATTGCCAAAGCTTGCACATTGTACAGAAAAATCATTAGCAGCATTTTTTTAAAATATCACTATTAAAATATTCTATTTTATTCATTCTTATTTATTCTTACAAGTTCATCAATAAATAGGAATTTAATTTTTACATTTTTAGAATCATTGAACTTAAAAATTTGATTGATTGAACTGGATACAGTGTATGCAGTGGGTAATACAATTAACTATTTCTTGTCACTATAGTATTCATTATTAAACATTAAAAAAAAACATGAAAATGTTTGGATGAAAGTGAATTTTATATTGGTTATATTGTGGTAGATGTATTTTCTTCTAAACAAAATTATTGAATGTATTGATGAAAATTTGCTACATTTGCATCAAAATTTCAAAGTTAATCAAATTCATAACTTTTTTCTTGTTTAAATCCTTGATTTTGTTTACAAGTTAATGATAAACTTAGTGAATCAAGCCACAAGTCTATAAATGCCCCAATAGAGTTCTTATCAAACATCTTTATTGATTTTGATTTATCCACGACGAAAAACATTGCAAACGAAATCTAAATATTTAGGTTCGACTGATTTTCTAAAACAAACATAACGTTTGACGTTCTCGAGGAGGAAAAAACCGTCTTGATATGAAACACGGAGGTTTTGCTTTGGTATCATACTCGTGCTTCACTTTTCGCTTGCAAAAGGATTAGGTACGAACGAATTAAAGCAGTTTTCACACCCAAATAACATAACTGCATATTTATAGGTTAAAATATAATATTCATAACAAAATAAACAAAATTCATACAATCTATTTGAGGATTACCGTTTTGTAACAGAAACTAAAACATACAATTACCATTATTCCTGAAATACTCACAACAAGTCATAGACGTGGGCCTGCGTTCACGTCCCGATGTTTACTATAACACACCTTACACAATCTCCGAAAAATAAATCACTAAAATAACATAATCGTGTTATTAAAACGTCACTGGAGTAAAAATCATCAGGAAATTCTAATGTCCTATTGATCTAAATACATAGAAATTTCTCTTGTAATATTTTTTCAATCTGTGTGGACGCCAAACTGCGGGAAAAACTACAGTGAAGTTAGCTATCGATAGTGCCGCATTTCAAGGTCATCTTAAATTTATGGTACGTGTACGTGTCTATGCTTAAAGCAAAAATATTTTTTAAAGATTGTATGACCTGGTATTAAGACCTTTAAGGGTAAGTCTTTTGTTTTCTTCGTACATTCTATTTTAGTATAAAATTATATCATTGATATTATGAAAAATGAGATAAAATTGATTAATCCCTTGTTGCAAAGACAGAAGAACAAGCTTTCAGAACATCAACTTAAATACAAACATTGAATCAATTTTTTTTAGGAAAAACTAATAGAAGCTACGACTGGTTGCACATATTTGAATTAGACATTTGTATCATATTTTTTATGTCTGCTGCAGAAGCTGTAGCCATCAAAATCGTAAATGTCATTGGATCAGTGGGCTTATAATATCTCCGTACTTTAGTAATATCTACAATCCTTTGTGTACCTCTCAGATTAATATATTAGTTAGGTACACCATAGCAAGATGGCTACATCATGTGATGTACACATGATTTGAACAACGGATAGGGCTGTTCAGAAATAAACACACCTAGTACATAATTTAAGTACTTTTATTATTTGAACAGTATAATATGGAACTAAAACTAGGCTTAAATTAAATTACCAGACAGCAGTGTAACAATTATTCCTACATTAGATTTTTCTAGGGATTTTCTTTAATTATCGTCATATTAGCTGATTGAAATTTAAACTAGTAACATAATTATTTATACCGGAATATTAGTAATAGTGATGTAGTTTTCTTTTCTTCTTCAGATTGCCATTTTAATTTATTGGTAACGTGACACCACCGACGGCTGTCACCAGTCACTACACTACACTGTATAGTAAAAAGAAAGCGTGAAAAAGAAAATAGGTATTAAATCAGAAGTCATACGTAATTTCACCTATTTTTCTAGTTAAGTATTAAAACAATATGGTCTAGTTTGTTTTTTTGTTCAATTTTCTATACATTTGTGCGTTATTAATCCGACAAAATAAAAGTTATGTAAGTTAATTGCATATTTAGCAATGCAGAGGTTTCTGGCAAGATACCATTTACGTATGACAGATGGCGTGCTAGTATTCCTAACAAATGTTAAACAATTAATGTTCTAATCGCATTTAATTCAAAATTTTGCGAGTCACACCAAAATGTAGCCAGAATAAGCCACTTAACTACTATTCATATCTAAATTAATTATAACTTTCATGTAGTTACATATAAAACGAGATCTGGATTTAAAAAAAATAACGAATTATTGTAAAAGTAATCTTATTTTAAAGAGATTAGGATTATTAGTGATCCTTAAACATTAACTTACAAGAAATTGTCATGAACATAACAACGTATTCCCAAAAAATTACTACGAAACTGTATTCTATCACAGAACTGTAAAGATAAAGTAAAATATTTAAAACAATAGTAAGTAATTATGTTAATCCGATATTTAATCCAATTCAAGTTTACGGAACGATCCGGCGGTTGAATGAATGTCTTGTGTCAAATCATTTTTTTCTAGTGCATACAAATCGATGCACATGTCATCCAAGGCCAGTAGCTCCTGTCTTTGCTTCAATAAATTACGTTTCAGTTCTTCAATCATATCTTTTAGTGGGACTGTACCGCCATATTCTTTTGGCAAAATGGCAGGGTCAACGTATTTTGTTAGGTCACTACTCGTACGATGGAACTGTAAACAAACAATTAGAATAGGTATATAAAAAGCAGGTACTCCCTAATTAAACGTAATTTGAAAAAATAGTACATTGTGCACCAAGGAAGAAAACTAGGACATTTCCTCCCGCGTGTAAAATTGCCAACACTACTTTTTTCTCCTACCAGGCCGAAAGATCGTGGAGTATCGAGCCGGGGTTCAGGGGCGAAGCCCCGGTGGGGTCCAGGGGTAGGGGGGGCGGAGCCATACATAGTCCACCCGACACGGCAGACGCTGGTTTATACCTCCTGTTTACGCGCTGTCGTAAGGGTGCACAGAATTATATTTGGAGACAAATGAGGTTCCGGGATGTACAGCTCGGACAAGGCTGTCCGTCAGCTGCCACCATCCAGTTGCGTGAAGTCGCACCTAAATCTCAACCTCAGGAAGCAAGAAGTACCGCTATCGTGTAACCGCGTTCGTTTCGTGTAATAAGCAACATACGTAATTTGTGTAAAATGTAGGTATAGGTTAATATTTTTTTATGTTATGTTTAAATTTTTATTCTGTTCCATTGATATATTTTTTTTTTGTCATGTTTATTGTTTAACGAAATGTCTGCAATTTTAGAAATTAAATGTTTTTTTTTATTAAATGTATTTATGTATTTAAAAAAAGGGGGCGCTTATGTAGGGACACAGTTTAGCAGCGTATGCAGTTTTGTGCATCGCATGCATTTAGTCAGTACTCAGTCGTACATAGCCCACCCGACACGGCAGACACTGGTGAATATACGGAGTTAAAATTGCAATCAACTTGTTTCATTAGTAAAGAGCAGTTTACTATTTACTCTTGCTAAAGCAACCGTACACACTTAATATTTGAGACCCACTGAGTTCAGACAGTTTGAAACTTAAACTACTCATTGGCCGTTTAGGTACATGATGTTTTATAAGCTATAAAATTGTCTTACCATAACACGGTCTTTCAGTTTATCACTCAACAACGAAACTGCAAATTCGAAAAATCTGACTCCATAATGCGGTATGTTCACAAAATGTGTCCTCTTATGTCTCATCGGTGTTGAGTTCTATAACAAATTAATTCCGATTATTAAACAGTTATGGTAATAGTTTTTACTGGTGGTAGGACCTCTTGTTAGGACCTCTTGTTAGTCCGCACGGGTAGGTACCACCGCCCTGCCTATTTCTGCCGTGAAATAGTAATGCATTTCGGTTTTAAGGGTGGGGCAGCCGTTGTAGCCTTAGAACTTATAGTTCAAGGTGCGTGCCGCATTTACGTTGTAGGTGTCTATGGGCTCTAGTAATCACTTAACACCAGGTGGTCTGTGAGCTTTTCCATCCATCTAGGCAAAAAAAAAAAGTTAAAAATTTGTTAAGTGTACCGTAATATTTGTATTCAATTAATCATGAATGTTTATACAGAAAAGAGGTCTAGTCAAAGATTAGCATAATAAATAAACCTTTATTTTTTATTTTTAGTGCGCTTATTCTTTTTTTTCTGTATAAGTCTTCATGTACATGATTACATATATAACTATGCTGTAGTGACTATTCCTATAGCGATTTTTAACGATAATAGGTACTCAAGGATGATTGCATATCGGTTTTTTTTCTAATTTATTTTGAAATTATACTTGGGAATTTTTTAAAAGTGATAAAAAAAATGGTGTTTCTAAACTTTCGGTACAAAAACACACCATGTTCAACATACCTGAATGCAATTAAGCATTATCCTGACATCGGTGAGAGACCAAAGACTAATGTGAGGCATTTGCATGCCGGCTTCGTCATTAACGTGAGTGTAGCCGAGCAGTTGGGAGCGTGGCTCGTCGAGGAGGTGTTCCACAATCATTGAGTGAACTCTGGCCATTACACAACTGTCGTATAAGTGAGGATCGAAGCGACCTGAATGCAAAGCAGTAGTTATTAGCTCAATGGCCCAAAGAAAACTGGTCATAGCGGTTATGACCCTGGTATCATCGGTATCTATGGACAACAGTGATGACTTTCCATACGACGTCCACTCACATCTAATGTCAACGAATAATACCATCTGATTCCCAGTACAGTACAACCCGTCGATTACAAGGAAAAGTTCGACGTGGGAATTAGCAAATAGACACAGCCTACTGAGTTTCTTGCCGGATTTTCTCAGTGAGTCGCGATTCCGATCCAGTCGTAGATTCTGCGTAGCACTGCTCTTGCTAGGGCCCGTATTAGCAACTCACTCAGGTTGAGACAGTGAGCTCACCTACCAGCCATTGCTAAGCTCGAATAACCCCTTAGACTACCAGCGAATAGGTAGGGGGAAAATAATCATCCGTGACTACGAAAATTATAAAGTGAAAAGAATTAAACCGTGAAAGCAGTTTTAATTGAAGACATGAGTGGATGAAGAGGTTAAGTACCATTTTTAAGATTTTTGAGTTTTTACATTGAATGAAGGTGCTATGTGTCTATAAACCATATTAGACCTTAAAACTCGGGGTATAAAGGCTGTTTTTAAAAATTGTGTTTGAAGAAGGAGGAGGAACTTTACGAAAAGTACAAGTAACAAACCTTTTTTGCCCGTTTTCTCAAAATTAACAAATTGTATCATATCCCCTTCATAATTTTTAAAGTAGTAGGACCCCTTGTGAGTCCGCGCGGGTAGGTACCACCACCCTGCCTATTTCTGCCGTGAAGCAGTAATGCGTCTCGGCTTGAAGAGTGGGGCAGCCGTTGTAACTATACTGAGACCTTAGAACTTATATCTCAAGGTGGGTGGCGCATTTACGTTGTAGATGTTTATGGGCTCCAGTAACCACTTGACATCAGGTGGGCTGTCAGCTCCTTCACCCATCTAAGCAATAAAAAAATAAAATAAAAGAATTAGGCTCGGTAACTCCATTCCCGTCGTTCATATCTTTGGCCAGCCCATATCGTGGGCTTCGAAGGCTAAGCTAAGTAGGGATCACCCTCGATATTAGGATGATATTCGGACCCCACATTAAGTCAGTACGCGACCGAGCAGCGTCCTTACTCGGTCGACTGATACCCCAATGATTTGGAAGCGAAGTAAATTGCCCCTTCATAGCAAGGTGACACACACTTCAATTATCCCTCCGACTCATGAGAAACGAATGCTCTATTGAACACCTACCCATACAGGACAGAACCACTCTTCTCCCCTCGGCGTCTCTCTTCGGCAATGGCACTAGATACCCGGCGTCTATAACTGCAGCTATCTTCGGGTCAAGAGGATCCAGTTTCTGGAACCATTGCGGGTACATTTGTCGTATGGTCAGGTACCGTTCCAGCATCGAGCAGGCCTGGGGTATAGAGTATTTCTTTGTACGCAGGAAACGCAACAAGAATGGTGCATCTGAAGAATGAAATACATTTTTGGATATTAAAAAAAAACCATAATACTTATGGGTTTACGATTCTTTTTTTAATACGCTCTTATTAGCTTCAGACGTGTTGTATGTATGCAGTATTTAACGGAATCTTTGTACATGATTTTGACCCCCTTCAAAACGTCGGATTAACTCGAAATTTGGTATACTTATTAAAGACCGATGACAATTAAATATTAAAAAATATATATTGAATATTTGAAATTAAACTAAAAAATTAAAAATAAATAATAATTTTAAAAAAACTAACAATATACGCTTTTATAGAAAATCCAACTCAAAAATAGAAAATAAATTTTCATAAATTTGAATTAAAAATAGTGTAAGAGAAAAATATTTTATTGTAAAAAAAGCCTGGGGTGCTTTTCAGGATATTATCAAAATAACCCTTCTAAACATATCTGGTCATAAAATATTTAGTTTTTTTAAACTATTATTTATTTTTCATTTTTAGTTTAATAGGACACGAGGTTAAAAACTATTATTAATATCAAAATTGTTTGTGAATCTTTTAAAATATTAGTGCGTGAAGTGTAAAATTACTGTATTGAAATGCTCCGTGTGCAGTCACATAGTGTAACGAGTCTAAAATAATAAAATAGTAGAATGCCATTTCTTTTTTTGCTACGATTGACGAACGAGTTCACGGCCCACCTGGTCTTAAATGGCCAGCGGAGCCTACAAATATCAACCGCGTTAATGCCGCCACCAATCTTGAAACATGAGTTCTGAGTGTCCATTTTTAAAGCAATGGCTGCTTCACCCTTCAAACCGAAACGCAATCCTACTTCACGACAGAAATAGGCAGGTATGGTACATACCCGTGCGGGCTTACAAGATGTCCACCAATAATAATGTGTACCACCAATAATCAAATCAAATCAAATCAAAATCAAAAAATTTTTGTTCAACATAAATGAAAGTACATACTTGTTGAACGTCAAAAGAACTACCGCTAATTCACAAGAACTAGCCTCTGTCCTGAGAAGAATTGACAAGAAATTCAGCGGGCATGACTTTTTTTTTTAAATATGAAATTATTATTTATTTATTTTTTAATATTAGATTTTTTTTTAATATGAATTTTTTATAATAAGTATTATAACGTAACAATTACTACAATATTGAAATGCCCGGAGCGAGCAACTCATTCCCACTTTGTGCAATCTTCTAATAATACACGTATGTACTGATGAGAGCTCGTTAAAAGAAAATTCAGTTTCATAACATGTGCTCATTTTTCAGACTTCTTTAGCAGACATTAGGTATTTTTACAAACACGATTATTACTATTTTTACAGGTTACTATTTTCGCCAATTTTTTTTTAATTTTTAATCGACACAATATTCATATGTCGACAGAAAAATCTTAATTTTCCGCGTCCACAAAAATTGTAAATTATTTAACAGAAACGTCGGAAATAGAAATAATGAAAATCAAAAATGAGATTAGATCGTAAAAGTACATTCAACTATTAAAATATTTTCCTAATAATAGATATTTGATATGTTTTATTTCCTTTAATATTTTCTTCAAACCACATTCAAAATGGATTAATTCGCCAACTATAACATCGGTGAAAATCGAAACTATTTTGAATTAGAGAAGGCCAATGTTAAATGATCCATTGAAATTCACTGTGCGCATGTATTGAATATAAACATTTTACCATACCATTCGCTGTTTCGAATCATAATTAGGTACCTTAGCCGTATCTTGGGTCTGTTTTCATCTATACTGCACATTCTATTCGTGATTCTAACGAAATGAGTAATAACACCTATTCCACATCCAAAACGTGATTCAAATGTAAAGTCGGATGTTTTAGCGCTTTTGTCTTTGCAGGTATTTAAAATTGTGCGCCAATACGGTAGATAGAGTTGTCGGGTCTTATAATAAGCTTAGTTTTTTTTCATACAGTAAGAATTTCCTGCTGTCAAATTTAGTTAACAATAATTAAGCTTGATATTAACCAAATAAAACGATAGTATCAGATTTAATTGGTATGTTTCTCAGCTGTCTCATTCATTAGTCTGAGTTACACCCAAACCTTAAGAATTTCAATATCTTAATACCTAATCTTTCATTTGCATATTCATTTGATTTAAAACAAGTTGTCGAATTAGTTTAATAGTGAATAGTACCTAAAAGGTAGGTGTCACTTATTAAAATCATCATAACAATAAATAAAAAGTATGTACTAATATAATATACCTTTGCTGCTGTTAATGCTAGTGAGGTTATGTTATGTTCGTTCGAAAGTATTGTAGGTATTTAGTGCTTTTGGGTATTCAATCGCAACACGATTTTAATTGGACAGTATTTTATCAAACCAAACGTAATTATTTTTCCAGTACAGCCATTTTTATAAGGATAATTTTCTAATGAAATAATTGTACTGTATTTGAAAGCGAGATTCAACTTATATTAACATCTAATAAAACCTAAGAAATAATAATAAAAATGCAGTGATATAGCTATGCCGATGCAACCAAGTTAGTTAGGTATATTTAAAATAAACTTTTATTTTTCTATTTTCGATTAGATTTTTGGATGTGTTATATTAAGGTTGAAAATATATTGCAATTCAATTTTAATTCACTTATAATAAATTCCATGTCCGACTAGCCGACTTTTCGTCTGAAGCTTTGGATTTCACATCCATTTTCATAACAGGCAACCGCTTTCATTTGGCCTTGGCGCCGGAAAATACTAATTACGCTACCGAAATTAACAATGAACCCACCTTGACGGCATTTTTTAATCGCAGGATGCTTCTCAATAAAATGTCTCATTTGATTCAAAGCTTCTTCTCTCAAAATTGGATCTTCTCTAAGTTCGATCCTGGCTTTTTCCCGAAGCTCAGGCGGCAGTTCACCGGTCTCTCGTTCCTTCGCTTCCAGAATGTGTACGCGTTCATCATCAGTCAGCCGCGGTGATTCGATGATGTCTGGCTTTGGTTCGTGCTCCCTTCGGCAATCTTCGGGTTGGAGGACTGAAGTGGCCATTTTTATTCTGGAATGAAAAATGACAGTCTGTTATTGATTTTATGATGATTTTTCATCATTCTGATGTTATTTTATTAATTATTAAACCATGTTTCTTTACTTTTTTCACCTTTGAAAATGAGTTTAGATATTTTTTTATAAACAAATCTAGCTTTTGCCCGCGACTTTATCCGCGTGGAATAGTTACTTTGGCATAACGCTAAATTTTACCCGCCTCTTCATTTACGTAGAAAATATTTTTGAATTATAGAATGTTAAGGAGTTATTTAAGGTACCAAAATCACACTTTTTAAGCGACTTCAAAAGAGGAAGTTATCAATTCGACCTTAATTTTTTATCTATGTATGTTCACCGATTTCTCGAGAATGCTTGAACCGATTCTGATAATTCTTTTTTTTTTGTTCGAAAGGGTAGACTTTCCGAATGGTCCTGTTTACATCAAGATCTGATGATGAGATCTTGGATAAATCCAGAAAAATCTATAATTGTCAAAGCCTATCTTGAAGTGATTTGGGTGTTTTAATGTTGTAATGAATAAGGTATTTATTTGGATTGGGATTAATATAATCTTTATAAAAACACCTTCACAAGAAATGCTTTTTTTTAGAACAAATTTGTTTAACATAAAAAACGTTATAGTGAGCCAACCTTAATATATAGACATATGCTGTCACGGATTTTTTTAGATCTTTTAAAGGGTAAAAAATCTCTCATACATTATTAATTACTTTATTATTATTAATTACTTTACTAACTAAACTTTAACCGTTTCCGCAGCGCACGCAGTGGAAGCTTTCAAAAGAAAAGAAAAAACGCCTATTTTGAAACATTCTTCATTGGTGCTCCGCTTGCCTTAGCGTGATGTTATATAGCAATCCTCGATAAATGGGCTATCTAACACTGAAATAATTTTTCAAATCGTTCCTGAGATTAGCGCGTGGCTTAGTTTGCCAATTTCAAAGTAATACATAAATTATTATAAATTAATTGTAAATTATTCGGTTTCGCAAGTGCCAATTTCAAATCGATGTTGCGATGGCAACATTGTACGGATCGAAACACGATTTTCCAATATTGCCAAATCACTGACGAAATTAAGTTATTTGTTAATATTAAGAAAATATCATCAAGGTCTTTTGAGAATAAGGAATCGTAGATGTCAACTCAAGCCGTAGTTCGTTCAATATTTGCTGAGTAAATTTACATACTCGTATATAGGTACGTACCAAACGTAGGTATTTAGAAGTCCTGCATACCATATGTAAAATATGTGTATAATCTGTATCCTATATTGATTTTACTGGCGGTGACGTTTTGAGGTTACAGGTTGGTAAAGAAGAAGTCTTCACGCCCTGCTACGCAATGCCTCCATTAAATTTGAGAAATGAATGCTCATCTCTCAAATTTAAAGAGGGCGTAGGTATACACAACGGTTCCAAAACGTGGTGCTTCACAAGGGATCTTTTTAGGAAACTTAGTGTCGCGCAGCGAGCTATGTAGAGGGCTATGCTTGGTATTTCTCTACGAGACCGAATCAGGAATGAGGAGATCCGTAGAAGAACCAAAGTTGCTGACATAGCCCGTAGGATTATCGAGCTGAAGTGGGAGTGGGCAGGCCAAATAGAGCGAAAGTCGGACGGCCGATGTGGTAGAAAGATCCTCAAGTTGAGACCGCGTACTGGCAAGCGCAGTGTGGGACGACCATCTACCAGATGGGCCGACGACATAGTCAGAATCGCTGGGTCACGTTGGATGCAGGTGGCAACGGGCCGGCCGCACTGGATATCAATTGGAGAGGTCTATGTTCAGTGTAGTGGACAGTGAACAAGCTAATGATGATGATAGGTATCCACAAGATTAAACCGTAAAAGTACCTAATTATTATTATTTTTAATTATTATTTATTTTACCTAATTATTTTCATTATATATTAAATATAAAATATCTCTCATAAGTACATCTAAATATATTTAATAAATGTACATGTGAATCTTTGAAAAGAACATTAGTAATTCGTTGAAAGTGTGTGATTCACAACAAAGAAATGGGAAAGCTTGAGAAGACATACATTTGGATTTAAATCGTTATTCAATTTACGCTGCCTAGCGAATTTTACTCAAAATTTACTAACATATTATTTTGAATGTGTATTATTTTATTTTCTTAAAGACTCTTAAATTCAGTTTCTTGTTTAATTCACTCGTTACCCAGAGCGTTTTTATCCAGAAGTTTATATATTTTCGATTCGATATATAAATATAAATTAAATAACCTTATTATGTCGGGACTTTGTAGTAAAACCTCTTCGAATACGTCACATTTTATATAAGACTCATGAACGTGACCTTCGAACTCGTTCGAAAAACTTTCACTTGCCTACTTTCCAATTCGGTCGATTAAACTTGCATCCAGTAGGTCACATATAAATTTAAATTAGCAGGTTTATATTAAATATTATGGATCGTTTGAGGTGGTTGTTTTATTAGCCTTATTAGAAAAAATAGCCTTGAATAATAACGATTCAATCCCCGTAGTGTTAAGATGAATTTTAGCTATCGTTTTAGCTATTTTAGCTAATTTTATCTATTGTTTGCGTACACTGTCTTAATCTAGAAAGAACGGAGAAGGAAACAAAACCCCTACGTGTGTCATGTTTTAATTTCATTTCCGTATCAATTTCGTAAACCAAATAAAGCATAGGGAAATAATGAAATTGCCGATTTTAAAAATCCGGGTAAATTTAATATTTAAAACCTTTTTTCAACACAATTTACCACGGCCGCTTCTTATTTATCAACACAAAGCATTAACGTAAAAGGGACATAATAATTCATTGAAGTACCTATCTAATCATTAACTTGTCTTGTTAATTCTGGATATAGTAATGGCTCCCCACATGTTCACAGCCTAAAAACCATAGCGTGTTACAAGTATGTCAGGTTGAGGACTGATTATTAAATAGACATACCACAATGAAACTTTTTGAGTTGCACACTATTCGCGCAGTGAGGATTTAAAAAATCTGAACATTCTCATTATAAAACTAAGAAATCAAAATATCCCGAAAACAGGTCAAACAGAAAAGTATCGATGCAATTGAGTAGAAACATTACCTAATCGTTTGTTTCAGTATTATGAACAAGTACATTTTGCGTAATGCATTAGCTAGGTAATGTTTGTAATCAATACATGAAGTTGTGTTAGTGCTTAATAAATAACTGCTATTATTCTGAAGCTACCTAGTACCTATATTATTTCCGTGTAACAGGTCTAACAGTTTGTCTTTAGGCCTAATGAACCAAGAAGGGAACCGTATCTTTGTAACTTGGTAGGACGTCATGATAATCGCCTTATCGTAGCCGCCGCTGACTACTCCCCGAATCCTGATCATGCAGGAGCCAGTCACCGTCGACGCCCTAGACACGTCCTTACGGATCCATCAGATCCAATAACCTTTGCACTAGACGCCTTCAGCTCTAGGAGCAGGCTTAGGGACCTCGGTAACCGTACTCGTCGAACTCGACAAAGAGTTCGCCGTGCAACCTAACCCATGAATCAGCTCGCTGAGTTTCTCGCCGGATCTTCTCAGCGGGTCGCGATTCCGATCCGGTAGTAGATTCATTCGCGAAGCAGCTACTTTTGAGTTGTTAGGTCTCCTTCGGAGGCGCTCGGGTAGCTGTTAGCAAATCCCACCCCTCTTGGCTGAGCCTTTGCTCGCCCACCTGTCCTGGTGAAACTGGAAAGGCCTCCGGGCCACCAGTAATCCTTCAATCATTAAAAAAAAAAAAAAAAACTTGGTAGGAATCCAATTTTTTTAAATATTAAACCATGCATTAAAATGGTTACTACATATTTGCCGAACTTTGGATTGCTTAAATGCAAGACCATAACGGAAACATTTTTCAACACAGAACATACGCGTTCTTAACGCTGTTGTCCTTAACTTACATACATTTTTTTATTCATAAGGCAGGAAAACTTGCAAACTAAATATCCGTTGTAAGGCTACTAATAAAGAACTTACTGTATTGTACTACGTATGTATATTGTTTTTAAAATGGTCAAGGAACATTATCAACCATAAAGAGAGCGTATTAAAACATAAACAATGTACTATTCATACGTTGAAGTACTAGGAAAACATAGAACGTAAAAGATTTATTTGTGCCGCTTATGTACCTACGTGTTGATACGTTCCTTTTGACGTGCGTTAACTACGTCAATTGCGTTTCAATTAGAATGTTTGGATTGTGATTTTGTGTCCAAACTTACATGGGAAGTTACGATTTTTAATTTTGAAATCTGCTTGGAAATTTTACTCTTGCCATCAAGTCTCTACAGTCAATCATTTAATCATGCGAATGAGTTTTGTAATGCGGGATTGATTGCCTACCTACGTAGCTTGTAACATTTTAGCTTTGATAGCTCGCCGTTACACTAAGAGTACGTATTTTAAGGACTTGATAATCCAAATGTAGGTACCTAATGATAAGTAGATAATCAATGTTGTAAGAAATATAACTTAAGAAAAAAAAATTGTAAACAAACATGCATACAATAATTTTGTTGTAATTTATTGTAAATATTGTCCTTTTAGGGTACTAAGTAGCTAAAGCATTTTACTTATCAATTTTAAAACAATACACCGAAATTAATACCCGAATCCAGAGATTATAGCGAACGGACCATAGCCTGCTACTCTAATTACATTTTATTAATACTGCGAAATTAAAATTGCAAAATAAATAAACACGAAAGGTAATTAATTACTTATAACAAACAAAAGCGTGTCGTGAAAGTTCCGGTGGTAGAATAACTGGCACAGTTGACTGATAGTATCTCGTGCAACGAGGCTTCATAATGCCGCGACGGTAACCAGTTGTTTCTTAATTAACAACAGCAAAAAAAAACGCTTTTGCCAATGATATTTTATATGTAAAAAGAAGCAGATATGTTTCAAGCGCACCTCAAGTGAAGACTCGAAAACAGGCCAAGTGGGACGTTTCG